ATTCTTTTATGTTTTGCAATTGTTCTAAAATCCACGTGTTACTTTAATAATAAAATGTTTAAAAAACAGATGTTATTTGAAACATGTATTTGTAAAAAAACTAAGACTTATTTTGTCTGGCAAAGAAAAGTGTCTTGAAATAAAAAATAAAATAAAATAAAACTATTACAAAATCTTTTAATATCAAGTAAGCATACTGAAAATAATTCTTGCCTTTAGAGAGTAGCTTTCGAAATTTCTGTGTTGCTGTTAGCTGCTGATCAGCATTATCAGAAAAAATCATCTGGACCATATCTGTTGTAATAACTTCTTCCTAAAACAAAAGAAAATATAATTTAACACTTAAATATTCTGCATGAGTATTTGCTGTATTTCTTACCTTTGAAATATTGTTGAAGTATATAATTTGATATTTTTTTTATAATATCTACCTCTGAAATGGGTACAGTAGAACTGATATCCGGATCCTGGATAGGGCTTTCTAGCATAGATTCATCATTTCTGGGCAGAGAGACATTCCTGCGTTTGAACAACTGTAATAAAGAGAAATCAGTTTATACAATGAGCTTTCCATAAAGCAGTGAATTTCCATAAAATTACATTTTTCATTTAAGTGAAGAAAACAAACTAATAATTTTATAACTTAAAATTCTGAATATTTTAGTATTTCCCAGTCTTTATACCAAGAAGACCTAAATGATCTGTGAGAGGTCAAACTGTTTGGGCTAGGTTAGCTCTTCCCCTGCACAGACTAATTTGGGTCATTCTTACCCTCGGCTCTTTTACCAGTGGTTCACGTTGAGAATATATACTAAATAACTACCACATGCCAATCTCTATACAAGGTGCTAGGAATATAAAAATGAAAAGGACATGGTACTCAGTCCTTAAGGAAGTCACTCTCCAGTGGAGGAATCAGATACCGTTAATTTCAAAATAATGGAATTCTTGCTCATAAATTACAATGTTTACATTTAAATTCCATTCTAAAATTCTATAACCCAAACTAAATTATTCAACAAGATCTTACCATAAACAGGAGAGCCCTTCCTCTTCAGTGGCTAAA